ACTTGGAGGTTCATGGGTAGATGTAAATGGGCTATAAGTAGGATAACTATAGTTATAACCCAAATAAGGGGACTTATAACACCACGTATAACGGCGCCATGAACCTCCAAGTAGGGCTTAGGGGCTTAGGGTTTAGGGCTTAGGATAAGCTACACGCAGCATGTTTGAGCTACAGGAAGCAAGTTCTTATGTCGCTGCCGTCTTCGTCGTCGTCATCATCGTCACCCTCATTATCAACATCACGCATCATCACCCAAATCCTCGACTTGATGGTGATCGCAAGACTACAAGCTTCAGCACCACATTTAGCATCATCGTGACTCGCTGAATTGTTCACGTTGAACGGGGGTTTCGGGTTTCTGTTTTTGGGCTTGCGGTTATGTAAAGGACCAAGGATTGTTGATCAGGTTCTTGCATTACCTACAACCAGTCGGAGTACGGAGTGTACGACATAAGCCCTAACAACCCACGACAAAACAGGCGTACAGGGCAAGAAGCATAGCTACATCTTAGCGACCCTGACCACCTCGCAAAGGAACTTGTGCGCTGGGCCATGCTCGGACACCGAAGAGCTCTGCGGCAAGAGTTTGCTCATGTTCTGAATCGCGTCCTTGTGCTCCTCAGCCGCCAAGGCCTCGGTGGAGAAGTGTATGATGACCCCCTTGATGCCCGCTTTCTGTGAGCAAGCTTCCATGAAGCAAGCTTTGGCCAACTCCACGCGCAAGTCGGAGTCGCCTGCTGCATGAAGGACCTTTTGGAAATCTTTGAGGAGGGAGCGAAACAGTGGATGCACAACGGTATTGATGCAATTCACTTCCTTCGCAACCAAAAGCGCCATGCGAAGCACTTTTTGTGGATCAAGATCTTCAAGCGTTGCAGTCTTGACCGTCAAAGGCTGAAGCTCCATGATCGCCACGTCGGAATCTGTCGCACCTGAGTCACTACGAGCAGTCGGGGCGTTAGACACAGTGACAAGGTTGGTTTACAGAAGGCATAAAAAGAACAAGTTTGTTTGAGGACGCCTTCATCCAGCCACTGCGCGAGCCGTTCAAAATTTTCAGGCTTCGCCATGATAAACCTCGGTTCTGGAGATATATGTGTCCACGCCCTGAACGCCTACTTGGAAGCTAACCAACCCCATACCCGAAAATCCTGAACTTCGGCTGTCTCAGACCATGAGTGCTCAGTAGCTTGACTCGGTCTTCTTTGGCCATGGATGTGAACCAGTCCAAGCCGAAACGCATGTTCGCCTTGTCCTGCTCTGTTGCAGGGCCATTCAGCATGCTTTGTATACGCTCAGGCTCAAAGGTTCCCCCAGCGCGGACACGCTTCATCTCGCGCTGCAAGTCTTCATGCGCCCTAGCAGCCACAAACTGCTGGTAGAGCACGCTGCGGTACAACAGCCTTGAGAAGCCAATCAGGGCTGCAGACAAGCTTAGGGTTTAGGGATTAGGGGTTTAGGGTTGAAGGTCTAGGGGTTTAGGATTTAGGGTTTAGGGGTTTAGGGTTTAGGATTTAAGGTCAAACGGCCCACCTCTGCTGGCTTAGGTCCAAGTGCTCAAAGGAGACTTTATCCACGGACTTCAGGCTGCCCTCCATGTGCAGCAACGCTTCGGCCAACTCCGGGAGGAAGGATGGCAATCTCTCTTTCAGCTGCTTCAGGGGCTCCGTGAAGAACGCCAGCTCCTGCGAGATTAGGGTTGAGGGCTTATAGGGCTTAAGCAAGTTTAGGGTTTAGAAGCGGTCTCAGAAGCTTGTCCTCCAGCGCCTTGTGCGCCAGCAGCGATTTCACGGTGAACTTGATGCACAAAGATGTGCAGGGGTCCAAGCTCTTCAAGAAGTCGTCTGGCGCTTTCTTGGACGTCTCATACTTGCGAAGGATGTGCTTGCTGTATGCCCGGAACCAGAAGGCAGCAACTGTGGCATCCAAAGGATCTGGAGAGGAAAACCTCCCTGCGGCAATTGCTTGGGAAATCTCTCTGGCAATATCGTTCGCAGTGTCGGCCTCTGTTTCGGGTTCGGAGACTGCCTTTTGCAGCAGTCGCTGCGGAGCTGGTGCACTTGGGCTAGATCGCATAGTAGTCGAAGGCGGTGGATCCGCCGGGGATGTCGTCGGTGCCGTATTAGTCGAATCCGGTGGAGGCGCAGGGGATGTCGTCGGCGCCGCAGGGCCAGGAGATTGAGCCTTCCCAAGTACGCTCATTTGGGTCAAACCCTCCAAAAAATTTTCGGGGGCACCCATGGACTGTCAGCACTACTCTGTAGGGCTTAGGGTTTGGGGTTTTAGGGATTCGGCGGTTTAGGGCTTTACTTTAGCGTTTCAGGGTTTCAGGTTCAGGGTTTGGGCCCGGGAGCCTGAAGATTCGGAACGGGGCGCGGCTGTGACAATGGTGGAGGGCAAGGGGCATCAACTGAAGGGTTGTGGTCTCGTCGCCTTTGGACGCCAAGCGCAAGCTCTATGGTGCTCACATGCTTGCCTAGCTTGGAGCGATCAACCACCTGATCCACGAAGCAAATGCCTTGCTGAAGAAGGCCCGAGGGAACTTCCGGAAGATCTTCCGGATCTACGATGTGCTGCTGGATATCCGGATGGGCAAGCTCCGGTGCGGTGTTTGGCACGACCCAGTAGGTGCTCTTCACTGTCGTGGACTGCACGCTCCTGGCTTGCCACTGGGACAAGATGCTGGCATTCAGTCTTGCACCTTGACCCTTAACCCTCTTCAGAGCACAGAACAAGTGGATCATTTGGTCATCCACAGAAACATCAGCCATCCGCTTGAGAGAACGGCTCGCATTGTCCAGCTCCGCGCTCGTGAAGTCCTTTTTCTGCAGCTCTGCCCGCACTTGGTTTTCCATGGCACAAGAAAGAGGGAGAGCAGACGTTACGGAGGCCTACAACCTGCAAGGGAACAATGAGCAGGCGAAGTGACCCTCCACATCTGCAAGTGGTTGCACCAAGGACACGGCAAGGTCAAAGACGTGATTTTGTCGGGCCCCCACAAAGATCCTGTCGGCAAGAGCGGACTGCTGCGCTATCGCTCAGGCGCACTGCTTCGCAGTTAACTACTGCACGCCCGCGAAATCGTGCAGGAATGCCAATTGCCAGAACCGCCAGGAATGGCTGTACTATTCTCACTATCCTGTGCACGGTTTCGGGCTGAGGGTCTACGGTTTGTAAGGCTCTAGTCACCAAGATCCACTACCATCCACGAGTAGCCACTGATAGCCAGCCAGATGCACTAATATCCACGAGTAGCCTCGAGTTTCCACTAATAGCCACTAATAGCCACTAATAGCCACTAATAGCCACTAATGGCCACTAATAGCCACTAATATCCACTAACATCCACTAATATCCACTAATATCCAGTCATATGAAGTAATAGCGACGAATATCCACAAATAACCAGTAATATCCAGTAATAGCCAGTGACATGCACTATAGTAGCTTCCCGATACCAGCCCTACGAGGCATTCCAGTCCAGTACTGGCAAATAAGCAGCACAAAACAGGACTGACCTGCAGCTACTCGGAAGACGCAGAACTAGCGCAACAGAGAAGGCATCCACAGCAGAAGCGCTTTGTCCGCTTCTGGAGAACCCGTCGTGCCGGGAGCAGCCCCGAGTTCCAGAATCATTCGCTGCACTCGCTGATGTTCTCTCTGGAACCACGCCTGGCGGACTGCAGCATGGTCGAGCCACGCATGTCTTCTTGCACGCCACAGCCCCCAGGCACGCAAAACGACGAAGGTCCGGTAAGGTTGCGCGATGTCATCATCATAATGCTGGATTTGAACCTGCAGCACATGCAGCCATAAAACTCAACAGAAGTGCGTGCGGAAGAACTTCCTTCAAGCAAAAACTCATGATGCCGAAAACAAAGAACCAAGGCACGGTCTTGCTGGTCTCGCTAGTCCCCATTCCGTGAGGAGGAGCTGCTATCCAGCGTTTCTGCATGCGGATTCTTGCGTCTCCGGAACCCAAAACAGTGTGAAAGTTCGCGATAGAGAAGTATTCATCACTATGAACCACATGAGTCCCGGGCGGCAATCGAGGAACTGTTTCGCCAGCTACGTCCACTCCCTCGTCCTGCCCGTGTGTGGCAGTGTCGTCCTCGCCAGCACTGTTGGCGTCGGCATCATCAGGCTCCTCCACAAGGTCTTCTGCCTCCATTTGAGACACAACCGTGTCAGCGTCGGATGCTGAGTCGGAGCACGGCATGGATAAAGCATCGGCGGCATCCTCATCTTCCTCTTCGTCGTCCTCATTCATGGCGGCAGCATCATGTGATTTTTGCGAGCGTCGGGGAACCTGGGGTTTCAAGGACACCGGAGTGGCTCCGGTCACTGCGAGCAGCAGGCCACTGTCACCTGCGTAACCAGCATACTGCAACGTCAAAGCAAATACCTCGGCACTTTCCACATGAGGATGATGTTTAAGGCAAACATCTCGAATGGGCAGTAGCAACTCATGGAGCAAGGGGCTCAGTGGAAGGACAAAACAACGACCTTGACCCTCCTGAGGGTCCAACTGCACAGCGAAAGTTTCCCCTCTCAAGGAGGCGCAGTAACAGACTACCTTGACAGACGGCGCGAGCTTCAGGCAAAACCAGCCTTGCTTCTGCTGCAAGAGGATGCGTTCCCAATTGCAGCGCTGTTTTTTTTCGAGTTTGGGCAACAGCCGCGGCGCAGGAGTCACAAGTGATGAGTCAGGCCTCAACCGATGCGACAAGGATCGCCTAGCAGCAGTGGCGTTGTTCAGGGAATGCTTGAACAAGTCGTCGTGCTTCCGCAGCCACTCCATCCAGTCGCTGTTTGTGAGAGGCAGCAAGGTGCCATCATGCTGCCTAGTCAACGCCTTGGCTTCTTGGCGGATGCAGGCTGCCTGCTCCTGTAATTCTTTCTTGTGGGCCTCGTAGTACTCATGGAACGCTTGCGGGTCACCCTTGTGCACTGCGGAGGAAGCAGAAGCACCACTGACATCTCGCTCCCACTTCAAGCGGCCCCGAGGTCGAGGAG